CCTGCCCTAAGGTCCCTCCTCTCAGACGTGAAACCAGGGGCCGCATCACTGGGGGCGTCCGGTGCACCCCTTGGCAAGGGCGCCTGGCACCCTGGGGCGCCTCCGCGGCCCTCGCGGACTCTGCGACTCCCCTAACCCCCGCCTTTCCCGCACAAGCAAGGGGCGCGGGAGGGCACTGAGGCACGCTTGCCCCTCCGAAGTCCCTGGGGTGGGGACGCTTGAAGATTCGGGTGCAACCAACTATCAACCTCCCTCGCCCCATGGCTTTTTCCGTCCCCTCCCGGCGCGCACACACGCCCTGGTCTGCCCCCCTGAAAGAGACCAGGCAGCTGCAAGCTCAGTGGGGCCTCAGCCTGCGGGGTCCGGGGAGGGAGTGCCCAGCCGCTGTACGAACGTCGTATGCTAGCTGGAGCGTGGGCTCGAGACGCACAGCGCGCAGAGAGCATTTAGGCGTCCCGAGGAAAGCTTGTGGGCACGCGAGAGACAAGGGGGCCAAGTGGCTGTCAGTTCCGGTCAGTGATGGAACCGGCCACCATCGCCAAAGGCCAAAGTGGCCCTGGGGGTAGGCGTAGGGGATTGAGGAGCTGAGCGCCCGGGAAACGACCCCCGCGGCTAGCCGCAGCCAGCTGCAGCTTCAGAGGAGGACTGGGAGCTCGCGAGGGCGCGGGGGCGTCTTCACTTGGGCTGCGTGTGCGCGCGCGCGCTCGCGTCTTCAGCTCCTTCCCCGGTCGTAAAACCTAAACGGAAGACGGGTGTTAAAGTGCTGCTGACAGGATCGCCTGAAACATGTTTACAGTAGGAAAGACTTTCCTCCAAAATCACAGCCTGAGTCGATTCCAATTTATTTCCTCCCTGTAACTGTAATCGAAAGGCGAGGCTCAGCCGCCGCGGCGGAACAAGGCTGAGCACCATTAATCCTCGCCGAGCTTAGGGCAGGAAGAGCGCCATGCCTGCGCTCCTGAGCCGTTGCGGTCGGCGGGGCGTTCTGGCAGAGGGAAACCATTTTTTTAGGAGGAAAGGTGGCCTCTGCTAGTCCTTAAGTAACGCGCGCCGTTTCTCTGCAGCCGCTCGTTCCAGCTTCAGCAAGATACGGCCATGGTAATTGACAATCTCCCAGGTTCAGTTACTAGATCCAAACGGGAGCTAGCCTTGGCTTCCCCGGTCTCTGGGAGCTTCTGACAAGTGAACAGGAGGCGGCGGTCGGTTGCCCTACACTGTGATTTACGGAAAAAAAAAATCATCAGAACTCACCAACACACCCTATTAACTGCTGATCGTTTAAACTGTTACCTAAAAAAGGTAGAGTAGTGGGAGATGATAGGGGTTAGGGAGAGAAGAAAGAAGTCTGACCATCCCCACGTTTTCCCACGTCTCCTCGAGGGCGCAGGGAGGCTCAGCGCTGCCACCTGGCGGCTGCTTCTTCCCAGATTGGGAGCCGGCTGGCGGCACAGCAACCCCAGGCCTCCGGTGGGTGTGCCTTGCTTCTGCCTCGAGAAATGGAGCAGAAGCTCGTATTCAGGCTTCCAATCTACGTGGCCCAGGCAAACACTTGTTTTCTGCTTGTTCTCATGAGAAAATTGAGAGGAATGGAAAAATGAGTTGGCATTGGTATGAAGTGCTTACTTAAGGTGCTAGTCGCTGGTTAGGAGGGGAGTGAAAGTGGTAACATTTATTAGAAATGCAGGGTTCTTTTAGTTTATTCTAAATAAAAATAAATTCTGGATTTCATTTTACTCCAGAATCCTATTTTGATATTTTGCAAATAAGAATTACTTCCATATATTATTTCTCAATACAACCCCCAAAAGAGAAGTCCAGTTCCAACACCACTTCATCAGCGCAAAAAGATGAAGTGCAAGTTATGTTTGTCTACTTGATTGAGAAGTAAATTAGCCTCGGATGGAGGGTTGTTTTCCATAAAGTGTGGAAGCGAAAAGCCTGGGGCCTTTCAGTTGACAAAGGCGAATGACATCAAATTTCCCAGGGCTTCTTCCCTGTCTACTAAAGTAACAAAGACAGGGTTTTTTCCCTCTTTATTTTATTTGAACTGAATACTTGTCAGGTCAGACCAATTCCTACAATCATACTTGCTATCACCCAGGCAAGGCAAAATCTAGCAAATCAGTGCAAATCCAGGAGATTTGTTAACTAATTTCCCTTCAGGTTTTTTTTCCCTCCATGCTATAGGAATATATTAAGCAGTAGGATAGAATCTTGTTTCCATCTATACCCCATACCATTTTATGGATGAGGTTTTCTGTTGTGCAGGTGTGTGAAAGCAGAAGAAAAGAAACGAATTAGCAGATATTACATCTCAAATAGAATTCCATTATTTAATGGAAAATAAATAAGATAAAATATTTACCTTAATTCAAAATTTGAAAGGTCTAGCATCATTGCTAATAAAGACAATTTGTCTATTATTCTAAAACAGGATTTTTTTTTTTTTTTGCGAAATTATCTTGGTTTACTGTTAATATGGCTTAAAGAGTAGCATTAAGAATTGCTTCATGTACTGCAAAGCCAGCAGAGGGAACACTGAGTTCTGATTTAGTAGGGGCCACCAAATATCTGGTATTTGGGAAAAAAAGGTCAGTAATTGAGAACTGGTTACAAAGCATATGAAGTTAGGTAATGAGAACACAGAAATCTTTTCTCATTATTTGTTATTCAGAGGCCTAATACATTCCAGCATGCACATACTTAGTTGGTGAGAAAGATGACTTTAATCAAAGGCCATTTGTCACATGGTTTCTTACATTTTAAGACAACTACTAACACATAAGAACAAACCTACTTCAGAAATCCAAGCATTCATATATACCACAATAATCTCATAAAGTCAATGGAAATTACTAATACCATATTTCTTCAATTCTAAGAATTTTTTCTTGTCATTTTCAACATCTCTGAAATAGGGAGATGTCTTACAATCAGGGAGATGTCACAGTTTCATCGGCAGTTTTTCTTCCTTAGTGGCGTGTAACAATGGTGTGTCTTAAAATCGATTGGATTTGTTGAAATACAGAAAATACATCTAACAATAGAAATAGGCCAGTGGCTATTTCTTTAGTACCCACTTTTTAAAATCTGTGTGCTTTAAGCACAAAATTTCCACGACTGCTTTGATTAACTTCCACTTTTCCCCTATCATAGTCAGTGGCAGAAGCATAAATGGCTTTAGAAATATAATCAATTATATTGATACTCACCTCGACTGAATTATCACAAACTACACCCTCAAATCATTAGTTGGTACAAATCCCAAAATAAATATAATATTTATTCTTTTTTATTCTAGTGAAAATATTGATTTTATAAATAATAGACCCTCAGAGTAATTTTTATGTCAGATTGATGACATTTAGGGGTGTGTTTTGGTGTTTCAGTTCAAAGAAAATAAAATGCATGATAACACACCCGACTTTGTTATATTCTAAAGGGGGGCCTGTGGGTTTTTTGTTTGTTTTTAAGATGTTTCCCCTTCTAAAAGAAAAAGTATATAACTTGGGTAGCTAATGGTCAAAAATTATTTGCTTTTACCCACAAAAACATTCTGGCTTGTGGTTGATCCTTGGAGATCTAGTCAGATGTCTCCAATGAGTGTTCTTTCCAGTAAAACTCTAAATCTGACAGCCTGGGCCTCTAGCCAGCCTAGATACTTCAAAAGTTTGACAAGATAAATAGAAATCTACTGCCTAGCACTAGTCTGATATGAATGGAAAGTTGACTTTATTTTAGGTTGGCCCTACGTAACCACCTATCATTGGTTTTAGGGAAGATCAATTTTTACTAGAATTCTACTTTTCACACCTTGGAACAAAGGTAATTTTAGTGGCCAAATTAACGTGTATTCTGACTACCCAGACACCTTTTCCTTGCCACATTCTTCTCAGTATTCTTCACGAAATTCCTATCTTTTTAAAATCCTTGGGACAGGGCTGCCACTATTGTCCTTGGATGGTGAACATCCACGATCTGTGATTATTTTTTTCACATCAGTAGCCATTCTCAATTTTAGTCTCTTGAACAACATGCTGCTTCTTCTAGAAGGAGTGACTCCAGGATTTGAATTATCAAGAGAAGGATAATAGTATTCATTAAGGGCTTACTATACATTAAACTCACTGAAGCCTCACAACAACCCTATTTAAGTAGCTTCTAGAGTTCCCATGTCACAGATGGGAAAAACTGAGACTTGGTCGCATCCCCAGGGTTACAAAACCAGGAAGAAGGACTAGTAGCCAAGTCTAATATAAACCCAGAGGTTCCATTCTCTTCTGCTCCCAGTTACCACCTCCTTCTACAGTTTCTTTTGCCTTAGCCTTTTCCATTTGATTCAAGTAACAAATATAGGAGAAAATATATATAAAGGAAAGGAGGAAGAGGCTTTTGGGGGGAGAAGGATGGAGAGTGAAGCAATCTTTAATTTTGAAAATGTGGGAAACAAATATTTAGAAAGTAAAATTGATTCCCATCCTTTACTCACCATTATCATCCTATACAAAACTCTACGGAAATTCTCCCATTGAGTTAATTATGGAACACTACCTAATGTGTTCCGATGGAAAGCTCCTCTGTTTGGGCTATCCAGGATTTATGGGGGAATTTAAATCATTAAATAACCATAGTTAACCCGTTTGGTTAAGAGAGCAAGTAATTATTGCAAAAATTCCTCTTCTCTGCCTTCCACAAACAGCACAAAAATTGCTCTGAAGGGATTTACACAATACATCAACATCTGTGCTGTACCTAGAGTTGTTAAAATAATTGTGATGACAGGTGTCTAGGTACCACTTTCTTAATGGTTTTCAATATCCACTGATTTATTTCCCTCTCCCTTTTACATCCTTGGCTTTATGAAGGAGCCGAGGAACAGATTTTGCACTAGAGGCTGATTCTTCATTCTAATACTGAAAAGAACTAATAAAAATAATCACTTGGCTTTTAAGCAGAAAGCTTCCATTTACAGTATTTCACCCATACCCCTCCTTCCAAGCCCCTTGTTATCTAACATAATGGTTAGAATACATTTCCGTCTCTCCCCTTAATAATTTCATGCATTAACATCCTCTTCACACCACACACACACACACACACACACACACACACACACAGCAAAAGGAAAAAAGAGGCAGCAGAAATCTCAGCTGTACTCCTAGCCCTTTTAAAAAGTTTGCTCTGTAAATTGGAATGAGGTCAGATATGGAGCTTCTCATTGCACGCGGAGATTATTATTGCATCGGGTTCCAAGCCAATGGGAAGCCCGGGGGCGGGGCTTGGCACGAGGAAGCGTTGGTTACAGCGGCTGATTGGCCGCGGCCAAGACTGTGAAAGGATAAAGAGGCGCGAGGCGGAATTGGGGTCTGCTCTAAGCTGCAGCAAGAGAAACAGTGTGTGAGGGGAAGCGGCCTGTTTCGCGACCGGGTCTCTAGTTCTTGCATGCTCTTTAAGAGTCTGCATTGGAGGAACTCTGCCATTACGAACTCCCTTCTTGCAGAAGGGAGGGGGAAACATACATTTATTCATGCCAGTCTGTTGCATGAAGGCTTTTTGGCTTCCTACCTTGCAACAAAATAATTGCACAAACTCCTTAGTGCCGATTCCGCCCACAGAGAGTCCTGGAGCCAGAGTCGTCTTTGCTTTGCATTGTAGCAAAGGGACTAAGTGATAGAGACTATGTCGCTTTCCTGAGCTCCTGAGAGCGCTGCTGAACTGGAATCAACTGCTTCAGGGGAAGGAAAAAAAAAAAAGAGACTTGCCTGGGAGGCGGCGAGAAACTTGCACTGGAAGCTCAGAAAGCAGCATTCAAGAAACTCCTCTCCACTTTAGCACGGTCACCAGACTCAGAGCCAAGAGACAGCAAACTACGGAGCGGTGAGAGAGAGAGAAAGAGAGAGAGCGAGAGGGAGGGAGAGACTCTCCAGCCTGGGAACTATAACTCCTCTGCGAGAGGCGAAGTACTCCTTCCCCGCATCTTTTGGAGACTTTTCTCTCTTCGCCCGCCTCCGCCCCGGCGAGGAGTGGAGGGGCCCGCTCGGCCGCCGCGCGCGTCCTCCCGCTCGGCGTGTGCTTGGCCCGGGGAGCCGAGAGGGCCCGGCGATCGCGCCGCGGCCGCCGCGAGGGTGTGAGCGCGCGTGGGCGCCCGCCGAGCCGGGGCCATGGTGCAGCAAACCAACAACGCCGAGAACACGGAAGCGCTGCTGGCCGGCGAGAGCTCGGACTCGGGCGCCGGCCTCGAGCTGGGCATCGCCTCCTCCCCCACGCCCGGCTCCACCGCCTCCACGGGCGGCAAGGCCGACGACCCGAGCTGGTGCAAGACGCCGAGCGGGCACATCAAGCGGCCCATGAACGCCTTCATGGTGTGGTCGCAGATCGAGCGGCGCAAGATCATGGAGCAGTCGCCCGACATGCACAACGCCGAGATCTCCAAGCGGCTGGGCAAACGCTGGAAGCTGCTCAAAGACAGCGACAAGATCCCTTTCATTCGGGAGGCGGAGCGGCTGCGCCTCAAGCACATGGCTGACTACCCCGACTACAAGTACCGGCCCAGGAAGAAGGTGAAGTCCGGCAACGCCAACTCCAGCTCCTCGGCCGCCGCCTCCTCCAAGCCGGGGGAGAAGGGCGACAAGGTCGGTGGCAACGGCGGGGGCGGCCATGGGGGCGGCGGCGGTGGCGGGAGCAGTAACGCGGGGGGAGGCGGCGGCGGCGCGAGCGGCGGCGGCGCCAACTCCAAACCCGCGCAGAAAAAGAGCTGCGGCTCCAAAGTGGCGGGCGGCGCGGGCGGCGGGGTCAGCAAGCCGCACGCCAAGCTCATCCTGGCGAGCGGCGGCGGCGGGAAAGCGGCGGCCGGCGCCGCCTCCTCCTCCTTCGCGGCCGAGCAGGCGGGGGCCGCCGCCCTGCTGCCCCTGGGCGCCGCCGCCGCCGACCACCACTCGCTGTACAAGGCGCGGACTCCCAGCGCCTCGGCCTCGGCCTCCACGGCGGCCTCCTCCGCCGCCCTCGCCGCCCCGGGCAAGCACCTGGCCGAGAAGAAGGTGAAGCGCGTCTACCTTTTCGGCGGCCTGGGCGCATCGTCGTCGCCCGTCGGCGGCGTGGGCGCCGGCGCCGACCCCAGTGACCCCCTGGGCTTGTACGAGGAGGGGGGCGCGGGCTGCTCGCCCGACGGGCCGAGCCTGAGCGGCCGCAGCAGCGCCGCCTCGTCGCCGGCCGCCGGCCGCTCGCCCGCCGATCACCGCAGCTACGCCAGCCTGCGCGCCGCCTCGCCCGCCCCGTCCAGCGCGCCCTCGCACGCGTCCTCCTCGGCCTCGTCCCACTCCTCCTCCTCCTCCTCCTCGGGCTCCTCGTCCTCCGACGACGAGTTCGAAGACGACCTGCTCGACCTGAACCCCAGCTCAAACTTTGAGAGCATGTCCCTGGGCAGTTTAAGCTCGTCGTCGGCGCTGGACCGGGACCTGGATTTTAACTTCGAGCCCGGCTCCGGCTCGCACTTCGAGTTCCCGGACTACTGCACGCCCGAGGTGAGCGAGATGATCTCGGGAGACTGGCTCGAGTCCAGCATCTCCAACCTGGTCTTCACCTACTGATGGGCGCGCGGGCTGGGAGAAGAGGGCCGGGGGCGGGGGGGGCAAGAGAGGGAAAAAAAATCGACAGAGAGAGAGAGAGTGGAAAGAATAAAAGGGGGAAAAAAAAGGAAAAGGGAAAAAAAAAAAGTGAGCAGGGTCGGCTTGGGCCGCATCCCGGTCGTCGGAGAGGAGTGCAGCGGCGAGTTTGGATCCGCGCTCCCATCCCCCATCTCCCCGGCCGCGGGGACGCGGGGGAGGCGGCGGTAGACGGGGGCGACCTGTTATTGTTGTTACTGATGTTGTTGTTGATGGCAAAAAAGCGACTTCGAGTTTCCTCCCCTTTGCTTGAAGAGAGCCCCCCC